GGCAAATTTCTTTTCAGTCAACATTTTTCTTCAAAGTTTTCAAAACTCTGTCCTTGCCTGGACAACCCTCCCTATCATTCCCATGGAATACAACCTCTTTCTTCAATTTAATCTTGTTAAAGGTTGAGTGACTGCAATGATGGAGAATCCCTTTACGAAACTTTCTGTAATAGCCGGCTAAACCCAGAAAAACTTCGAACTTCTGCCTGTAACATTCCTGGGTGGGTTCTCCAATCATAATAGCCTTCGATCTTTCTTAGGATCCACTTCTGATACCTCTGATTGACACCACATGTCCTAAGAAAGAAACTTCTTCTAGCCAAAATTCTACAATTTACTGAGCTTGGCATACAGCTGTTAATCCTCAGTGTTCTGAAGCTACAATCCGCAAATGTTTATCATGTTCAACCCTGTCTCTAGAGTAAGACCAAAATGTTCATCTATAAAACACCACCATGAACGCATCCAGATATGAATGAAAACACACGGATTCATAAGATCCATTGAAAACCGCCGGGGTGCATTAGTGAGACCGTAATTGGCATTACTTAAAAATTCATAGTGACTCATATCAGGTTCCTGAATGCTGTCTTAGAGATATCTTCTTCCTTTATTCCGCAACTGATGGTATCCTGACCTGCAGATCGATCTTTTAGAAAACATGCCTGCCACCCTTTTAGCTGATCAAAACAAATCGTCGATGCGATGGCAATGGAATACTTATTCTTGATTGTCAGCTTTGGTTCAGCCCTGCTCTGATAATCAACACACAGTCTGAGTTGATCCATCTTTCTTCTTTAACGAATAACACCGGTGCTCCCCAAGGTTGATAACACTTGGGTCTTGATTAAAGCCTTTGGTCAAATAACTCCTGCCCAGTTGAATCTTTTAACTCTTTTAGCTCTACTGGTGCCATTCCTGTAAGGTGCAATTGATACCTTGGCAGCATACTCCAGGATAGACATCTATGCGTAAACTTCCATCTATGGTAAACTCCACTTCCCTCCTTGGTGGTAACCCTGGTAA